CTGGCTCTGAAACTGAAGTAGAACCAAATTCTGCCACACTACTTTACATCTAGATTCATGGTGGGCGACTGTTATGATATTCTTTTATGTTCTTTTTCTGTGTTGGATGTGAATGATAAAGCAGAACCGCGAGGACTCTTTTGAAGCATCTTGCTTACAAGTCCAGCCTGGTGATTTAATATATTGTCCCCTCCCTTTTAATACAAACTTTACAATTAACCTCAAGGGTTGGAGGCTGTCTCTTATCCACATCTAAAAATGTGCAACTCTATAAAGTTGAGGGACCAAATTTTGCATTTAACTTATATTTTATTTATTTTTAATTAAAATTTATATATTTATTAAAAATAATAATTATTTTTATCTAAAAAATTATAATAAATTTCAATAATTAAAAATAAAAAAATAAAAAATAAAAATTTTATTTGATGTAATGTATACGATTTCCTCCTTTATTTGATTATTACTCATCATATATAAAAGACACAAATTACTTTAAAAAAAATAAAGTACAATTCATTTCATTTATTTTATTTTTTGATAAAAAAAACACAATGTTAAATTAGTATCTATTTGAGAAAAGTCGAGTATAGAACTCGACTTGCAAATCGAAATATATTTCATTTGCTTCTCATTTTGAAAAAACGTGACCACCACTGTGATCACACGAGAGAATGCTACAATTCATTTCATTTTGTTTGATAAAGGAGGTAAATTAATATTAAATGTTTATCGATTTATCAATAGTTAAAAATAATAGGTGAAGTGGTCTACAACATTTTCTATTTTAAATTATGCAAAATGATAGATTTAGCATTTTTTTTTTCTCTCAAAATTCATATCTACCACTAACTTAAACATATTGAATTTAAGGGAAAAATTAATTTTTTTTTTTTTAACATGTTACAATTTAGAAGAGATTCGAACTTTAACCTTAAGGTTGATAAATGCACTTTATAATGAAATATATAGCTATCAAGGGTGTAATTTATGATACGATATATAATCATCGTATTATGAAATATAAGTGCAGGAAAAATTAATGTTTAAATTTTTATAATACAGATGAATAAATATTTCCTCTATACTAAAAGCAATATTTGATAAGTTAATCCAAATATAAATCTCTTATTGTCATTAAGTTAGTAAAATTCAATCCCTCTCGAACACTGCACAACAATGGTAAGAATTAATTTCTATTGTAGGAGCCAACTCAGAGTAAGGTATGTGGACAAGTGGGCAAAGGGGAAGGGTCAAGTTGTTGCTGAATGCTGGTTACCCAAGCAAAAGCAACACCCGTAGCTGCAGCCGCCCCACCAAATTTCTTCGCCGCCTGCATCCACCCAACTCGACCTGGTTGCCTCGGCTACCACGCCGCCTCCTCACCACCGTCCACACCTCCACGGTAACCATGGCCAACAACAACCAAGATAAAGACGATCTCGAACCCATTTTCAAGCAAAAACGACTCCTCCGATCTAAAGTCCGTCAGGCCCTCAAGTCCATGGACCCGTCGCTCCGATCCCACGAAGGTATCGTCATTTTGATCTTTATAGGTTTATCTGCCCCTTCAGCATAATGCATTTTCATATTGAATTTGAATCCTTTTTATTTTGTTTCTTTAGATGATGCAATTCAGAGGATTGTTTTGGAGTCTCCATGGTTTAAATCTAGTCAGAGATTGTGTGCTTATATAAGCTGCAGTGCATTAAGAGAAGTCGATACCTCAAGTTTGCTATCAGAAATTCTGCATAATCCAGCCAAAGGTGTGTTCTTTTTGGCCTTTCCTCCATTGCAGCAACTTTTGAAATTCTGGGTCTTAAGAGTTTTATGTTGGATGAAAGATTGATAATTTAGGAGCAGAGTAATACATAGCAACAGGAAACTTAGAACAGAATCAACAGATTAATATTTTCTTTTTTCTGTGTGTATTGGTTTTTCATGGGAATTAATACAAGCTCCCTTTTTCAACATTATTATCTAGAAAATGACACGCATATAGCAAAGAAGCTTTATGTTCCACGCGTAGAGGACAAGAACAGTCACATGAGAATGTTTAAAATCTCACGGATGGATGACTTAATTGCAAACTCAATGAATATTTTAGAGCCATCTCCAGTTGATTCTGATGGAAATGATCGTGAAGATGGTAAATTCTCACATCTCCATAATTTCTCAACGTTAGTCCTCTTTGAAGATGATCAGGGAGCTATTGCATTTTCTCTTCCTCTTCTTCTTCTTCTTTTATTTTTTATTTTTTAATCTCCCAGTGTTAAAGGAGTAAAGATATGTCTTGTTGCAGTGATGCATGCAAATGGCCCAGTTGATTTGTTTATTTTGCCTGGTAATTATCTTTCTTTCTGTAATTCTGTGTTTTCTTATCTATCCTTGCGTTTCTCCTTTCTTACATTCATCCTTCAATATTCTAGGACTTGCATTTGACAAATCTGGAAGACGGCTGGGTCGCGGTGGAGGGTGGGTTTCTTCATTTACATTGAATTACTGAATCTTGCATCTAAATATGCAACATTCTGTATGTGCTGTAGTGTTGACTTATAGAGTGATACTTTGCACGAGTGCACACAGAAATGCACACACACACAGAGGTAAAAACAGATTTGGATGCTTGGACACAAATTTAGATTCATGAACAGATGTTAGTCAGCTTCTACCTAGCTCTTAACTACTAGGTGACAGCAGGCAGCAAGGATTACAAGCCCTGGGCTTTTAACCCTGCTCATAGAATATCATCTTTGGATGCAAAATGCAAACTGATGATTTCTTTTTTAGATATTTTCTTTGAGTACTAGGGAGCCTCTCTCTAGCACTCTCTTTTAAACACTCTTCATGGGATTGGGTCACGTGGAACATAAATTTAATGTGATTGGTGATTGACATTAAAGTTAATATTTTTAAACTTTGAAATTATGACCTATCACTTTAAATTTGTGTCACACATGTCACAATCACAAGAAGAATGTCTAAATAAGAGTGTTAAAGAAACTGTCCTTAGCATTCCTGATTTTCTTTTCCTTATATTTTGGTTTGTTGTTGTAAAGCCAAATGGTGAGCTACTGTGTTGTGTGTCTATGATACATTTTGAGTTGTCTATGTCTGTATGTCCTTTATTTTCTTCACAGCTATGTCTATGCTTGTATCCATCATGCACATGTGCAGGTATGGTTTGGCATGGCATGGCATGCATAACTAATTCCTTTGTATTTGTATGATGCACACCCTTCAAAGTTTAGTCCATGCTCACAAAGTGTTGATAATATGATTTGTTTTTGTTGACATATGTGGTGAAAACTCAAAAAGTTACTACGATTCCTTTCTGAGGAAATACCAAGAACTTGCAACGGAAAGGAATTGGAGGCAACCACTTCTTGGTATATGCTAGTTTACTTTACTTGCTTCTTTTACAACATAAAGTGAATTACTTGATCTAGGCCTTTAATTTTGAGATAAATTACTCTGTGGTTGTTTCTTACAGAAAATTTTCTGGTTTTGTAGTTGCACTGTCATATTCTGTGCAGATTATGGATGAAGGAGTTATACCAGTCACTCCAAATGATGTATTAGTTGATGCTCTTGTTTCTCCTTCTGGTGTGATTCCTATTAGCCCAGCTGCCTTGGAGAGGTATCTCTGTCTAAATCTCTCTCATCTATGATTTAATACGGTTAAAATACTAATTTTGTCCCTTAACTTTTAAATTTGCACCAAAACTATCCTTCAACTTCAAAAAATACCAAAATTATCCTTAAACTTTAATTTTTGATATCAAAATACTCCTTAAACTTTAAAGACAAGTACCAACTTAGTCCCTAAGTTTTGAAAACAAGTGCCAACATAGTCCTTAAACTTTGATTACGAATGCCAATTTGGTCTTTCAACTTTGATTAGTCAATTTGATGTGTAAATGAAAATATGTCATGATGGAAAAATATGGCTGTTTGATTCTAGACGTCATTAGCATTTTAAAAAAGAATTGATTTTGTGACAAGATAATGAATCATAGGGCAATTTTGTAAACCGAAGGACTATTTTGATATCAAAAATTAAAGATTAGGGACAATTTTGGCATTTTTTTTGAAGTTAAAGGATAATTTTGGTATAAATCTAAAAGTTGAGAAACCAAATTAGTATTTTAACCATTTAATAAATGAGGTTCCTTCTGTTCGGTAACTGATTTTTTAACACCTGCAGATTGAGGGTTTGATTTGGAATCCAAAATGAAACCTGAGTCCTTTCTTCAATAGACTTCTTCAGAGTTTGCGTCTTGGGTAGCTCAGAAGTTGTTAAGAGGATTGGATTCCTCGAACTCAAAGCATAAAATGCTGGGCATGAGTTACTGGAGGCATGGGGTACAGTGCTGTTGTGCCATAGACCTATTGTTGAGAGGCCTCAAATGCTTTCCCTTTCTTGACCTTGGACAACTAGAAATAGGTCTGCACTTGGGGTTAGATTCTGGATAACTTGTACTTTATAAGATGGAGCATACATCATCACGGTGTCATAGATATTACTATATTAGCTAGAATAATAAATATTTTACTCCAAGGTGTTGCTGTTGCTGTCGTTATTTCATGATTGATTTCATTTAATATTGGAAAGCTAGTGTTTATCATATTTTATGTGCAAATAGCTGAGTGCAATGAGTTTTGTCTATCCCCTTTTAAAAACAGCATGCTGTGGCTGTAAAACAGTTAACCAATTGAGGGAAGGCTGAACTCTTTGGCTACCTGCTCTATTAATAGTTTAGTGTCCTTGAACTGCGGTTTATTATTATTATTATTTTGTTAAAAAAATTAAAAAAAAAGAATGACATAGAGGTTGTAAATTATTGGAGGAAACAAGTCAACTGGCCGTTCAGCAATTGAAAAATGGAAGGTTTCCTCCAATAAGCTTTGAGACTAGTTTCAGTAGAGTTTCTAAGATGATGCTAATCCAACAATGTCATTATCCCTTGGCTCAATCTGAGTTCATGGAAATGTGTTAACGTAGAATAATTAATGGAATCACGTACAACTTATTAATTCGAGTGAAATGAACTCAGTTCTGCTTAAATAATGTTTAAGTTTAAATAACTAATAAAATCATATACTCTTCTTAAATAAGGTTTAAGTTTAAATAATTAATAAAATCATATATGACTTATTAGTTTGAGTAAAAAAAGTTCAGATTTCTTTAAATAAGGTTTTAAGTTCAAATATTGTGAATGAAAAAATAAATGTTGAGAGAGTTTTTTTAAATGAAGTTTGTCGTGATTCAATTTTAAATTAATCGAGATCTAACTATGATTATCAAATATGAAAAAGCTAATAAAAAAAAAAAATCACATACGGCTTAAAAGCAAGTAGACCTTAGATGTTACTCGTCTAGGTAGGGATGGTAACGGGTCCCCACGGAGACGGGGACCCCCTTCCCATCCCCATCCCTGTCAATGACGAGTACGAGGATTCTCACGGAAATTTTAGGTAGAGGATAAAAAATAGCCTCCGCCACCATACCCGTAGAGAATGATAAGTACCCGCGGGTATTCGAAGTCCCCACTAAATAAAACTCGATGCTCGTTTCTCGTTTGAGAAATTAACTGAAGATATAACGAATTAAGAGTTTGAATGAGTCTCAAAATAACAATACGATTATCGTTCGTTGTGAATGTGAGCAAGAAGTTGCGCAGGCATGTAAACAACGAAAATCGCATTCTAACAATCTTGGGAACAATCGGAGAGAAAATGAAATCGAAAATAATAAGGCCAAAAGAATGACATCTGCTTCACCTCAAAATAAATCATTAAGCACAGATATTCAAATACTCACAAATACTCACAACTCAAGCTCAGGCAAGCTGCAAGTAGCCGATTGAAGAATAGAAACAAAGCGATGGGCACTACCTTTCAAAGGTTGTCGAGAATGATAAGTTGAAGGGAATTGATCGATTGAAGAACAGAAACAAAGCCAGTAAGCTACAGCGCAGAGGAGAGGAGACTGCAGTCTGGAGAGGAGGAATCACAAAGCAAATTCGCAAATCTCAGAAATTTGAAATAGTCCTTCTAGTTCTAGGGTTATTAGCAAATTGGGTTGGATTTGGGAGCTGGATTCAACTATATAATTGGGTTTGAAAAAATTGAAAAAAAAAAAAAAGATTGATCAATTAATTAAGTTGAGTAAGTAAAAATTAATTGTTAATATATTTAAAA